TGGTGAAGTGTGGCAAGTCTTCTACTTCAATTCCATCGGGCATTTCCATCACCTTGACCAGAAGGTCTTTATTGTAACTGTAGCCCAGGAAGAAGTGAATGGCCCAGACCGTGGAGAGTGACAGCAGCTGATCCAGGTGGCCACTGCCATCTGGCAGATCATGGTAGTCTGGCAGGTGGCGCAGGATGAATTCCATGTGAGCCTTCCATTGCTTCTCACTTTCAGAGTAAGACCAGAACTTCTTGGTGAAGTCAGCTGCCTGTGACACCCTGGAAACCAGCTCCTGCACAATGGTGGCAGCAAAGTGCGATAAACCCTGCCAACTATTGCCACTGTGACCACCAAGAGCACACCACTGTGGCTGATCTCATAACAGAACACTTCTATACTCTTAACCGTTCTAATAGTCTCAAGATATGACAGCAGAAACCTACCAAAGATAATTCTGAACTTTTTTTTTTCTAGAAACACTGCAATGTAAACATTTTTAAATGCACAAAAATAACAAAGAAATGTGCATCAAGAAGAAACCCAGCATCCAGTGCATAAACCTCGCACCTTGTGGAGTCAGATCCGGTGGTGGCATTCCTCTCCTTGGAGTCCACACACACTTGAGGCACTTGGTGGAGAGTTCCCAGACCTAATTCCTGGCCACTGGAGACACTTCAGGGATAAACTTGAGTTGGGTTCCTTGTAACACTGAGTCACCCTTGTGCTACACTGCTGTCATCAGAAATGGATCCTATGACTCACTGGAACTAAAGTTGTACGGTGTCCAATTGTGATAATCTCAATTACCGACTTGGATTGAGAAATACCTCAGAAATTAGTAAAGAACAATTTTGGGTACAGTTGTGGGTATTTCCAGAGAGAGGACTGTAAGGGCTCAAATTCATCAAATTATACAGAAGATCATAATTTGTTGGATTATCAGGAAATGACTGAGGTGAAGCCTTGTTGAAGGGAGTTAAAAGGCTGTGCCCTGTAGGAATATATCTGAGGTGCACAGCTTTCCCTCCATATGCCCTTCCGCCATGTCTGTCTCGGACCCAGCCAACCAGGGACACAACCTCTGAAACTGTGACCCAAAATGAAGCAAGCTCTCCTCTAAGTTGTGTAAGCCAGGTATTTGGTCAATGATGAGAAGCTGATACCCCTCTATGAGGCAGGCGACTGGAGATGGGGTCTACTCTTCTACAGACTACCGTGAGTCACTCTGCCTCACTTAGTTCTTCTCATACAAATGAGGTGGGAATTTGAGAACTGATTCTCTGGTACACAGTGAAATAGATGTCCTCTGGCTTTCTTTCCCTGACCAAGAGTGAGCCTGCCAAAACTTTAAAGGAGTTTGAAGACAGCATGGCTGATAAATTATTGTGCCACACAGAACATTTCCTGATTTTACTTTACAGAATGTCTAGGAACACCAGGCAGAAGGGAGAGAGGGACAAGGTGGGAGAAGATCCTAGATGCCAGCAGGGGTCTCTGCAGTTTTTGCTAACCTTGCATCTTCAGAGGCAAAATCAAGCTGTGAATCCAAGTCCACATATTACTAACAGTATACACTTAGATGAAGGCCCCTGCAAAATGACAGCATATTCTTGGAAGCATATATATGGAAGCATACGCATGCATGCTTCCATTTAAATTAGGTGGAATCCAAAGTTAATGGACTATACAATGTCCACTCTATTAATATAGGTCTGAATTTCCCAGAGTTTCTTTTTCTGGTGATTCTAAGTCAGGATTGGCTCCAAGACTTGTCAGTGTGGCCTTTGGAAGGCAAGAACAAAGTCAGGATCATTTTCCTTCAAAGGTTGTCACTGTTCCATGTGGTGATACAGATGCCTGGCTAGTTCCAGCATGTCCTTCCGTCTGCTTCCTGATTGTTAAGCTAGGGTAGCTCTAGACCCACCACTGGACCACGTGTAGATCCAACACATGGGCTTTCAGCAGAAACTACTTCCACAGAGCTCCACATATCCCTTACCAGGCCGTTTGGAACCATCTGTGCTTTGCATTTTGGACAGATTAAATGGGGACCTCTGTTTATTCTCAGAGGTAGACCCTCCTGGACCAAAATCACTTCTCCAGCTCCCTATAGTTGGGTTTGGGTCTATTTCCTATAACAAATCCCTGGGCACTTGGAGCAACTCTATCCTGACTTACCAAGCACACCAAACCCACAAACCCACAAATGGACATTGCTTTTATATTTGCATATAAATTCTAAGATTAACCAACTTGAGTGTTCAGACCCGAGAAACTCATGAATATTCTCTGGAGTGTGCCTGTTTAGGATTCATAATGTCTTTAACCTAAATGGCATACATACTATTGAACAAAAGATAACTTCCTAGTACACGTGTTCACATAAGTAGGTCTGTATGGGAAAATATGAAATTTGGTTTAAAATATGTACTTGCAAATCCTCAGTGACATGTGTCTTCTAAGTCACAGGCAGAGACTGTATTTATCCTGCTTCTATAGGCTGTATTAACAGTGCTCTTACCCAGTGAGACAGCCTAACAGTGCTAATCACATAAACTTGCTATAGTTTGTGTTTAATGTGCCCCCAAAGCCTCATGCAGTTAGAGGGTCTTTTCAAAGAGGGATGAATCTACAATGTGTGGTGCTGAGATTAAGGGCATGTGAGTAGTAAATCACTCCTCTGATTGGTTTGGCATAGTTATGGCTAGGGTTAAGAATGTGAGTACTACATCCACTCTAGGGCAGGTGGCCTACATACAACATAATGGACAGAAAGAGCTTTGGATCTCTTCTCCTTGATGCTTTTGATATCTTATGGGTGTTATTCTGTGTAATGGCCCTCTGCCAAGCCATCCTGCCTTAAACTGGCTGACTGTGGACTAAAACCTCTACAAACTGTAAGCCAATTAACCCTCTCCCCACTTAACTTTGGGGATTGGGCATTTTTTCCTCAGCAATGAGAGAAAAGTAACTAAAACAGAATTTGGTACCAGAAGTGGGGTAGTTGCTATGACTATATCTGACCATATTGTTCAAGAGACTTTGGGAATGGCTTGTGGGAAGAGTCTGGAAAGGTTCAGAGATGCTGGCTGAAACAGCAGAGCTAGAATGCTGTAGGTGATACTGTATGGGAGATTCTGTTCAGAGCTCACACCAGAAGACTAACAGAAATCCTGCTGGTGACAGGCTCAGGAGGTTTCTGCTGAGAATAACGACCACATTGGCTGCTGGACTCCAGATGTGTGTCATGGCTTGACAGAGAGTTTGTCTTGTGTCCTGAGACTTTGCCTGAGGTTAAGATTAAGGGTAGCTACTTAATATGGCAAAAGAAATTTCAAGGCAGGTGAATGCTAAAGCAGTGGCATGACTACTGCTTTTATGCAGATTTATGTTGAAAACCAATAACAAAGAGTCCAGCAGAATGATTTAAAATGTTATGATGCAATGGTAAACAGAAACACCAAAACACCATCCAGGGCTCTGAGGCATACTTATTTATTTATGTTGACCCTAACAAAATAGCAGGCCCTGCTCTCCAGGGGTCTAGGGCTTATATGAGACAAGCAAGCAGGAAATACAGAGGCAAAATGGCTTGTCAGTTGGGCACTGGTTTAGATAATGTGCATCACAGTGATCAGATATTCTGAAGAGACAGAAGCAACCAGAACTGGAACAGAATCTACTATCTCAATGAAACTGAAGTATACTGGTAGGGTGGCGGGGGAAGGCCTTTTCTGCTACAGTGAGTTTGGTCAGAAGGTCTTGACTGCTGAAAAGGAACAGGAAATTGGAAGAGACAGTCTGAGGGCATCAAAAGAAGCACCAGGACTCTACCCTTTGCAGCCTCAAAACTGCAAATGGAAGACTTTGCTTTGAGAAGGCCCACAGCACCATGTTCTAGAATGACAGTGGCCTAAAGTTTGTTTCTCAGAATTAGATTTACAGTACTCAGTGATCAAGGCACTCAGCCCCTAGAGTAAAGCAAGGGGGAAGCGTATCTACTGCTCCAGTGGGCAGCAGACCTTGGCATCATCCATGCCTTGGGGGTAGAGCATTGGAGTACACATCTTGCCAGATTGTCTCAGATGCTGCACAAGGAACTACAAGAATTAATGTTTACCCTGCTGGATTTTTGGATTTGCTTTGTTCCCATTCCTTTGTATCCCCCTATTGTAACTTTTGGAATGGAAATGTCTATCTTGTGCCAATGAATGTTGGAAGTGTTTAACTTTTTTGCATAGTGGCTCAAGAGTTTGCTTTAAAGAGAGTTGGGACTTGGACTTGTCAGCAATCCTGAAACTGTTAGGAATGGCAACTCTTGGAGACAGATTAAGTGCCTTTTGTATAAAGGGATGTCCAAGAGTTTTTTGGGGGCCATGAGTGGAATGTTACGGTTCCTGTCTAGATGTCTCTCCAAAGCCTCATGTTTAGATGGCCCCTGCGAAGGTCCTCTGAGGGCCTTTTCAGAGGTGGCTGAATTGAGAGTGTATGATGCTGGTATTAAGGGTGTGTGATTAATAAGCCACTCCTGTGACTGATTTGGCACAGTTCTTGCTGGGATTAAGGACAGGTCACCTCCATACAATACAATGGGCCAAAATATCTTCCATCTCTTTCCCTTATTGTGTTTGCTATCTTGTGGGTGCCATGAACTGTTCTATGATGGCCCTCTGCCAAGCCACCCTGCCTTGGAGCCAGCTGATTATGGACTAAAATCTCTACATACTGAGGCCAAATAAACCTTTCTTCCCTTAACTTTGGGCACTGGGTATTTTGTCTCAGCCATGACAGAAAAGTAACTAAGACAATGAACAGAGAGTTGTGTCTCATCAGTGCCAACAGTCACACACCACGTGGGTACCATTTCTGGAATCAGAACTTGTATCTCACATGACTTCACTGATGCTTTTCTAATATTCACATTGAGACCCACAGGTATTTGGGAGGTGTTCCTTTATTCCTGGGATGCAAAACTCAAAGTTTAAAAAAGAAAACCATAAGAATGTGGGCATGAGTTACTTATCATTTTATTGCTTGTTTCTCAATGCACAATGTTTTTGAGGAATAGCAATAAGATGTCCAAAATTCAACATTATTAAATATTCAAATAGTAAAATACAATGTGGAAAAAAGCCCTCAAATGTTAAATAATCCAAGCTTTGTCAGAACCAACTAGGATAGCAGCGATTGGATTTATCTTCACGGTTTAAGATGAGAACTGCTATCCTCTAACCAGGAAGGAGTCTCACATGCCAACCAAACCTTTAGGCACTAGGGGAACATTTTAAACTACTTTTGCAATGGCGGGGAGATTCACAATGACTCTTGAGTATGGCAATCTGCCCTCTCACCCAGGTATAAAAAAGATCCTGCTGCCAACACAGTCCAAAGAAACTCCTGTGGTCACCACTAGAATGTCAAGACCAGAAACGATCCCTGTGCCCAGGAGGTAGCTTGCACCTGCACAGTTCTCTGGGCCTTTGTAAAGAAACAAAGGCAGGGCAACTATGAGCAGTACTTCACTTGAAGGCACGGGGTTGCCATCATCCAGAGGGAGGGGAGTCGTTGTGAGCTATGTTCAAAGTATACATCCTACCTCTGAAAAATTGCTAGCTGCCATACGTCGGACTGCAATTTCAGCCTGGACTCTCTGCAAGGCCCTGAAAATCTTGCTGCGTCCTGCTCCTTCTAGAAGAATCAGATTTCCAAGAGGTTGAGACTCAAAGGAATACATAGCTGTGATACATCATACAACAGGCAAAAATAAATACATGACTCTGTAGTATGGGTGTGAAATTATCACAAAAAAATAAATATCTCAAACCCCACAACTGTAGATCACATGCTAACAATACCTGGTAGCCTGAAATTGGTGATTTTTCATAAAACATTTATCTACCATGACTTTGATCAACTAGACTTAAACTGACAAGCAAGACTGTATGGAAAACACTCCAATTGTTTTTAAAAGCAGACTTCACTAAGTACCAAAATACAGATCAAGTTTACTGATAGTCATCAAGATAGCCAACTTAAGTAAGTCCCTGTCAGTCCTTCCCCATGCTCATCTAGGTTTCCATGACAAGAATGGACAAGAGCCAACTGCCCTTTCTCGGCGCCGCTAAGGCTGTGGTCACACATGGACTCTGCCTTTATGAACAACAGACCCACACTTTTGCTTGAGGGATCACCTTGAGCCTTTCCTGCTTTGGAAATCTCAGCATTATGAATGCTCTTTGCAAACACAGGGCTTCTCAAAGAGGAAACAACAAGAAAACATAAAGGTGCATTTATTTATGTCCATGCCATCTAAAGTTACTAAGTACAGTAATTAGGACTGGAGAAGGGATGAATAAGAACCTAAAACAAAAATAAACACTGGGACATTTGCCTTCTGATTTGCAAGTCCGAGCTCAAAAACATATTTGCCTGTTGGCAAACCAGTTTCCTCCCTGAGAAGTTCACATCATATTCCATCCTCTCACTCCAGCATCTTCTGTCTGTCACGACTAAGGCCTGGACAGTGTTAGGAGGGTGTGCGATCTTTCTGCAGAGCTGTCAGTCACCTGTGGGCGCAGGCTGGCCGTGACCAGGCTACCCTGTGCTTGGCTCCTCGGGCCGCCTCTGCAGCTCCTCTACCGTCTGCAGCAGGGTGGTGCGCTCCAGCTCCAAGGCCAGCACGGCCTGCTTCAGCTTGCTCTCGCTGGTCAGGAGTTTCTCGACTGTAGCTTCAAGGCTCTGGATCTTACCATGCGCCACCTGCAGAATGAAGAGAAACAAGAATGTTCCTGCCCAAGTCAGCACCAAGGAGATCCACTGAGGGCTGCATCATCCAGCTTAGACAGCACGTGGAGCTGGGTACTGACAGACAAGCTTACAGCTCATGATCAGTTCTGGTTATAAGGTAGGACTTCTCTAGCTTTCCCTCTGGGGAGCTGGGCCAGGCCCTAATAAACACCTAGATGCTCCTGCATTTTCTTCCTGCTGGGCTGCTCTGGATGCCAGATGCTGGCCGGGATGGTGGCATCTCACCCACTGTGTGGAATCTAACCCCCTGGTATTCCTGTGGGGAGGACACTGATGACATGGCTGAAGCCATCAACTCCTGACTCAAAGTCTAGCTCCAGCTGTGGTACTAGAATACTCAGAACACAGGGCAGAAAGCACTGCAACTGGTCTGATTCGATCTCTAAACGTACTCTGCTCTTCCAACTCCTACCCACTGTCAAGGCTCGAGGAGGCCCCTCCTCACCGCACTGAAGTCCAACTACATTTTGAGGCGTACCACAAGGCTCAGGGAGTAGTGAACTAGCCTGCATGGGCATCTGCCACACAGCTTTAGCTGGGGACCAAGTTTACACGGTTAGGAGTGAACTAATTTGCATGCATATTTTCTGTTTTCATGAATGGTAGGTCCCATTAAATAAGACTTAAGTTCTTTTGTTGAAAGAAGTTTGTTTTACATGATGTGATTAAAAATATGGCAAAGGTTTAAAAATATATTACAGTGAAAACACACTGCCACGAATCCCCTTCAATACACCCACCCCACCCTTTGGTTCTTGCCCTTTTATACCAGTTCTGGAAGACTTCTTTTGTGTCTTTTGGGGGCTGCCTTGATGTCCAGCACCAATTCAAAATCTTTACAGCAATTTCTGTCAAATAAAAACATCACAGCGTGCCCTCTTCCAAGCAGCTCCCTGGCCTGGTGCTGTGCGCCTCCTGACTCTTCCTCAGTCATGTTTTGAACTGATTCAGTATATGACGGCAGCCATAAAAGTGGAACTAAACATACAAACAAGGGCCTCCAGAACTGCTTCAGAAAGTGGCCTGACTGACGGGGTAAGTGTGTGAGAAGCAAGAGGAGGATTCTGAGGGAGATTAACGGCAACGTGTCTTTCTCTGTAATGACTGTTGATATTTAGACATTCGCTGCTTTGCGTGATTACACCTTGTATCTCTGACAAGGTCTAGCTTCCCACAGCCTGGTGTCAGTTCCTCAATTGGACTCGTAGATGTTGATTTTTATGGAAAATCCCCATGTGCTATCTGGAACCCTGAGGCATGGCTGCACAATGACCTTATGCACTGGCGGACGAAGAGGAAAGAGTCTCCCCTCTGAATTCTAAGGGGCAGCACTTGGGTGTGTAGTGTGTGGCATGTGCACCAACTACCTAAACAGCCAAGTTGGAAGACAGGTTGCTTTTGGTAATGGGGGATATTTCTATACAAAATTTACACCTCTCGTATATAAAAGGAGGAATGGCTGTCACATAGGGGATACCTATTTTCCTAGAGAACTGTGGAAGAACTACATCCAAGCATGCGTGCCATGGACATACCACCATAGGCATCCTGACTCTGAGAGCTGCTGTGACTTATCCAGCATGGTGGCTTGGTAACTATGGTGAACTGAACTGGCACAAACTGGAGTCCTGGATGACCCCCAGGCATGCAGAGCCACCTGGTCAAGAGAGCATCATATAAGCAGCATAACAATGCCACCCCTCCATCAGTAAAAAGCCATGTGGCCACTCACCTGAGAAAATGCACCTTTTAACCAAGGACTGCCTATATTAAGAAGCTGTCAGTTTAGTGTTCCTGCTGTATTTTAGGGTCCACTGCAGGCTTAGAAATCATTTAAATGAGCACCTGCACCACATACCCTTGTAGGCTGCAAGAGCTTTCTATCCCTGAGACTGCCCCTCAGTCTTGCAGGCTGAGACCTCCGGGGGACACAGCATACAAGCATGATTTCAGGAACAAAGAAGTTAACTTTCAGAAAGTGCCCGGCAGTTGGACTGGGTAAGGACGGGGTTTTGCTTTTGTTTCTCTTCAGCAAGTAGCTATGGGGTCCACTGAGAGAAACATGTTGCCACTTTGACCTAGCAGGCTTCCCGATGCCGCCCCACCTCCACCCCTAAGCCTGTGTCTACAAAGAGGCAACTTTCCCTGGGGACCATTCAGGCTCATGTTAGAACAGCAGGTTATTTTACAGACAGCCCAGAGAACTCCATGGATAGCCTTAAAGTAAATTTTAAAAAAAACACCCCCAAACAATTCCTAGACAGTGTCAGCATTCACCTATTAAATTCACCTATTAAATGACAGTGTCACCTATTAAGTGACAGTAAAAATGTAGACTATTTGGGCCTGTGTGCCACCTAACAACAGAGCGGCAACCAGCAGTGAGGTCTTCCTTCTGTCCTTGTCACACAGATGTGGCTACAGGGCACAGCAGGCAGCAGCCTGCCTGGTGAGGGCACAGCAGGGCCACCTCCAGTCTGGAAGATCCTGGGCTGTGCCAGACACTGCTCCACCTGACCTTCTGTGTGCCCGGGCCATTGTGCCTTGCTCCTGCGGGCACTCACCCACCTCAAGGGGGAAGTTTCAACAAGAGAGCTGTGCTCTTCATTAGGCAATCTGGGTGCCTGTGTCAGGGTCCCTAAGTAGTGAACACATGCCCTGGTTTACTCAGCTCACTCCTGCCTCTCATTGCTCAGAGCACCGCGGCTGGCAGTCAGCACCCGGGTCCACGCTCGTCTCTGGGCCTGTCTCCTAAAGGGCAAGTGCACAAAGTGGCTCTCTGACAGCTCTGGGCCTGCTCGACCTTGGCAAGGATAACCTATCTGCTCGGAAATAAAAGGAGCAATTCTCCTGGGATACCTTTGATCTCCACTACAAACACGTCAGGGTGAGAAAGGTCCTCTGGTCCTGGGAAAGTCAGCCTGCTGTCGCTTTGCTGAGTTAATGAGCTACCACGTTTGCGGCTCAGGAAGCCGCTCTATAAATGTGCTCTACCTGCAACTGCTCAAGGAGGTCAAGGTTCTGTTTACGCAAGCTGCTGTTGGTTTTCTCTAATTTATCCATTCTTTGGTTGTCACTGAGAGGAGAGGAATCAATAAGCTCTTCTTGAAGCACGTGGTACTCAACTTCATAAGCCTGCAACTGTTTAGCAATGTCCATCTCAAACACCTGTTAGATACAGAAAGGTCATCAGGTTCCAAAACTGAGAAAAATCTCAATCACAGTGCAACTATACACACACACACACACACACACACACACACACACACACACACACACAATCATGTCAAAGAGCATCGAGCAGTCACCACCCCTGTACTTAGCACTTTGCTTGGTAACAGAAGAGAAAGGAGGAAAACTGTGCTGAGGAGGTAATAACTTTACTTGCAAAGAAAGGATGTAAGAAACACCTAGAAACAATTCCTAGGTACGAATTCCAAGGTAGCAGATACATACTAATCTTCCAAAAGATTAAACTTTGTTTTTAAAAAGATGAAATTTTTAGTTCTTTGCTCTGAAATTTCCATTAGGTTAGACAGATCAACTGTGGCTTAAAGGAAGAAAACACAAAATCACCATAGCCTGTTCGCGCAGTCACCAAGCCAAGGTTAATTATAACTCAGCTGGGTTTCCAGAGTTGCAAGAACAGCTAAGTAATGGAACTGTTTACTAAAACACTCTTCTTTGTACAGAGATGCAAAAATAAGCCAAACCTGAATATCACTCCCACACACAGATGAGTGAATATGAAACACTGCTTGAGCTGTCTCCCTTCCCATAATAGTAATAGTGATGACAAACCACACATGTGAGACACAACCAAGTGTGCAAGAGACTCAGGCGACAGTGGCTGAGCTTTCTCCAGGTAAGGAAGTTGCAGAGCTGATGGGGCAGGGCTGGCGCAGGAGACAGGCGCTGCTACTGCCGACGCAACCGCGCCCTCCCAGTCTCCATGGTCATGCACAGGTGCCGGGCACCCTCAGGACAGGGGTGAAGCCCTTCCATGGATCTGAGCGCTCGTCATGCTGGGACCATCTAAAACTGCCCTGACAGATCTGAACATAAGAGAATGAAGTTGGACTTCACAAGAGCACACTGCCTCTCTACTGTGTTTCCTTACATAAGAAATTCGAACATAGTTTTGAGCCAGTGGAAGCCAGGGATGGCGATGTACAGCTGTCGCCCCAGCTGCTCAGGAGGCTGAGGCAGGAGAATCACAAGTTCACGTCTACCCTGTGTGAGCGAGACTCGGACTCAAAATACAATGCCCAAAATCAGAGGCTGGGCTGTGTCTAGCACGTGTTTCATTTTAGTCGTGCAGAGCCCTGGGTGCGAGTTCCAGTCCCAAATAAGAAGAAAGAGCAGTAGCTTCCCTGATGGCACCCACAAGCTTCCGTTTTCCAAGGTCATGCTTACTTTCGCACCACCTGTAAGAGGACTTTTTCAGTTTATTTTCAGTTTAATTCTGTGACCAACACTAAATGGGTTTGAAAGTCATTCTGCCCTGGGGCCAGCCAGCTAGCTCAGCGGATTAAAGCGCCTGCCTAGGCAGGCACAAGGACCCAGGTTCCATCCCTGGTGGGCTGTGTCATGCTGTGCCGGCCCTGCCCCCAGGGCACACTGAGATGGCCATTGAGACTGGGCATGGTGGCGCATGCCTGTAATCCCAGGGCTTGGGAGGCTGAAAATAGGAGAATCACTACGAGTCTGATCTGTGTAGTGAGACCCTGCAGACCCTATACTAAATACATGAAAAAATTAAAAAAAAAGAAAGTCATTCTACCCTGAAAACTAAAATACACACTTATCTGTTTCATGGATATGTGTGTATGTGAGTGTGTGTGTGTGTGTGTGTGTGAGAGAGAGAGAGAGACAGACAGACAGACAGACAGACAGACAGACAGACAATCACTGCGCTGCGCTGGATTTTTTAGGCCTCCAGTGTGTATGACTGAGAGGTCAGTGGACACTACCATCTCCATGTCAGGGTCCAGGCAACTGCCCAGAGGTTTGGGTGAGCCTGGAAATGCGCTCCCCTGGCCACTCCCAGCGCCTTTGAGTGTTGCTGACTTTCCCAGTCTGGCCTCCGCCGTGGGGCTGACACCAGCCACCTGCAGCATCGTGGTGAGCTTGAAATGAGACAGCCCATACAGCGCCCAGCACACACCCAGCTCTCTAGCTGAGGGCCTGGTCTGAACACCTGCCACATGCCCTCCTGTTCCCACCTTGTGCCTCACCCAAACTACAGGGGTGCCCCTTCACGGAGCCTCTGAATAGCTCCAACAAAATGAAACGGGAAAGCAGAGACTGGTGTGGCACTGCACACAACACCACCACTCTTTGATAAATACATGTCACACACAAAATTCTCTTCACTGACAAAGATTTACTCTTTTTTTTTTAAATTTTATTTATTTATTTGTGTGTGTGTATGGCCAGCTCAGCCCACGAGGGGGCGGGGCTGGCTGCCATGTGGTGCTGGGAGATTGAACCGTGGTCCCTGTGCTTTGCTAAGCTTGTTCTAAGTAGGTGCTTTAGACCACTGAGCCATCTCACTAGCCCCCAAAGATTTACTCTTAAATCATCTTTTAACCTGGAAAAACCTGGCTACTATTGCTTGATGATCTGTTGTGGCTAGTGGGTCTCAGCAGTGCCCAGTGGCCTCTGTCAGTCCTGGCGGCGGTCCTGGGAGGTTATTCCCTCTGCTAACAGGATCTTTATCTCTTCACTACCCCCTCCACATGGACAGCTTTGGCTGTAGTTTTCCCCAGGGTCGATTCCTGATTAGAGCGCTGGCCCCTGGTCCAGTCTATGGGCCACTCAGGTGAGGGCAGGAGAGGAGTGGCAGGAGGTGCCCCTGTCCTTCCACACTTATAAGCCATGGGCAATCCACTGCTGGTGTCACTTCTGTCATAGATAAAGCAGGTAAGCCTATGATTAAAACCTGACCTTCTGGGGTGCTGCCTCAGAGAAGTGCCATCAGTAGACAGATGAGGGGAAGTGAAAACTGTATGGATGGGAAAACAAGATGCATCTTGTTCCTTGGACAAGTGTGCCCCACACGCGCACACACACATACACACGCATGTACACAGGTGCAGGGTACTCTGTGGCCAGCTCTGTCTGGGTGGCACAGAAGCCAGACCCTGTGCACCAGCACCTGAGGGTGGGGCCAGCATGGCATGTAGTATCGGGAACTGAACCCCGGTCCCTGCGCTTGCCTAAGCAGGTGCTTAGTCCACTGAGCTATCTCGCCGGCCCTCGTCATTATTTCTGTATGTTCTAGTTGTAAGCATAACCAACATAAATTTTCCTATCCCATTTTTTTCACTTAACATCCTATACTAGAAGCTTCTTCATGCTGCTCTATGCTCTTCCCAGTCATATTATTATATAAAAATGACAGCATGGTTTTCTAGCAACTTGACTCATACCACGTCAACTCACACATCAAGTACTGAATGTAAGTACCGTCACTTTCAACTATAAGAGGCTATCCTTATGAATATGGCATTTCCCACATTTTTAATTATTTCCCAAGGACACATTCCAAGAGCCAGAACTAGAAATCAGTGAGTACTAATTTTTACTGGGTTGTGATACATTCTGCCAAACTGCTTCCCAAGTAGGCAAAGTCAAGGCACAATGTCACTAGCAACACAGCAACGCACCACACACAGTGTATCCTTAGTGTTGTAAATTGGCAAAAAAATGCCAGCTTGTCAAATCTAGTAGCTAAGGCATTATTGTTTGCATGCATTTTAATTATGCAAAAAGCTATATTTTCTCAGCTGTTTACTAAAGGGCTCTCCTCTTTGGTGAACTGTCTGCTTATGTTTTTGTTTTTGCTACTGGCGACTCCGTTTTTCTCTTTGGACTCCATGTAATCTGTGTAATAAAGCCACTAACTATGGTGGCCTGCAGACCTAGCCACACACTGTCCACGTTCCTAGCCCTCAGTCTGACCACCTCCTGGTCTTGGAGGCGCACAGGGGCCAGGCAGTGGGAATGCTCTGCCTGCACCTCGGCAATGGGGGTATGCTGTCTGCAGAGAAGTTAAGAACAACAGGAAAGCTGACTAAAAGCTAGTCTGCTTTTCATTAATACCACATGTGAGCAATTCCAAATAATGCCAGAAGTACTATGCACCCCACCCTCTTGGTGGGGCACTGCGGGTCCTTTTACACAACTGCTCACTTTCAAGAGAGCCAGCTTCCCAAGAAAAGAGGGCCCTGCAAGGGCAGAGGAGCCTGCCACAGCGACGCTGTGTCTCCTGCACACGACTGTCGGGGCTCTAGCTTCCAGCCTACAAGCGTAAGGGCAACCACCTGGCTGTGGGGTAAAGTGGCTGTCATAAGGTCCTATGGAAGCAACTCCCTTGGGGGAGCCTGAGAAAGTGCAGGTTGTGGCTCAGTGAGGCTGGGCTGGGCCACAGACTCTGTTTCTAACAAGTTCCTACGGGACCTGAAGAAGCTGCTGGTCTGGGGCCCCATGAATGAGTATAAAGGATGCTAAAAAGAGGCTACTGGCCCTGCTTCCCAAAGCTGCTCTGAACTGTCTTTCTGCCACAAACTGAACTGTGGCTGGAGAGCTACCTGGCACTCACAGTGACACTGACCTTCCCTCCCTTACTAACTGTTCCCAGAGCTCCCTTCTCTCTGGGCCAGAAGATGCTCACGGGTTACAGGAACCCAACGCGTCGCTGGGGGAGCACAAGGTCACACTGAGGGGCTGCCCCAAGGTTTCGTGGACCTGGGGGTTCTGCCAGGCCTGTCAATCACAGAACAGCCTCACAGCTGCTCCCAGCCTGGCCGCCCTGAGCTGGAGCCCCAAGGCCATCCTTGGCCACTGGTGCTGAGGCCTTGTACAGGGGGCGCATTTAATGGAATGGGGCCTGGCTGTCGCAGAGTGCTTGGAACACAGCTCCCCCAGCACACAGCTGTCTGTCCACAGTGCCATCTACGCTGTCACAGCAGTGAATGCTTCCTGCTCCCACCCTGTGATCTCCAAGGTCCCAGCACTGACTCTGGAGGAAAGGGGCAGCAAGCCTAGCGGAGAGGTTAGACATCACAATCCCGACAGAAGCAGGGAGGGAAGGGGGCTGCTTGGAGCTTTATCTTTTTTTTTTTTTTAACCATGACTGACTGTGGAATGGCAAGGTGGGCTCCAAATGTAGATTCTGTGCAACCTACGCCCTTGTACCCACCCCACGTCCAGGCTGAGCACACCAGGCACCTGGCGTTGTTCTTTGTTCTCTCACACCTGTGCCTCTGGCATGTCATGCTCCTCCAGCTCAGGGGTCAGCCAATGACAGCCTGAGGAGCAATCTTTGTTTTTGCAAAAAAAAGCTTTATTGCAACACCACCACTTCATCTCTTTATACCTGTCTATAGCGCCTCTGAGGGGAAAGGCAGAGCAGAGTAGCTGCGGCATAGCTTTTATCAGCTTTTATCAGCTGCAGAGCCTGAAATACTTCTTGTCTGGCCTCTGCACTAAATGCCGACCTAGCTCTTTCTTTCTGCCCCAGCTGGACCCCACCACTCCCTTCTCACAGCAGTACTCAGGCACCCCACATCCTCGTTCCCTTAGGCCCCACCACCGCAAATGTGGTGCCGGGCATGTCACCGTTTCTACGTCCACTTTCTTCACTGATGAAAATGGGGACTGTAACATTATGTCCCAAAGGTAAGGAGTCAGTGCAGTTCAGAACAACTTAATCCCAAGTTCAAAGCAGCTGTCTGAAATACATCAGGCACATGAAGGCCCAACGTTGCTCCTCCCGCACTGCACCCATTTCTGTACCTTCAGTATCAAAGAGCTATGCTAGGGTCCCGGGTACTCAGTATCGCTCTCAACAGAAAAGGGCAGGATGGGGTGTTTTTCGGGCTTGATACTTAGGAGGGAAACTCAACACCAGGAGGCCTGCCCCAGAGCCAGGAATCTACTGGACACAGACCTGGCCTCAGTAACCAAGGCCCCAGCAGGGATGAAACCTAAGTATATGCAACAAAAGCTATACAAAGAGGGCTGAATATAAACATGCCAGAAATTAAAGAATCAAAACAACAGAACATGCAGTATAAAGGGAAAATCCAGAAGAACTCAGTAATTAAATGCCTTCCAGAGACACTTGGTGCTGAGCAGCTGCTGAAGCACTCTGAGGTGAGCTGAGTGGGAAGGCCTGCCCCTCGTCTGCAGGAGAGTGCATATGGGTCAGCTAATGCACCGCTGAATGTCCTCTCAGGAATGTGGTCATGAGTGGATGAGGTCATGTGTATATACAGATTCCCTGGGACCTGGCAAAAGAGAAGGGCTCGACAAGCCAAAGCTATCCTCATCGGGTGGCCATGGCAGGGAAATAAATAGGAAAAGACAGAGCATGTCGCTTAACTAAAATGAAGTGCAGAATGGAAAAGTGCCCTTTCCTATGGGTGTGTGTAGTGTGCAGGGATCTGAGGAATAACGGACATGAAGCCCCTTCCTTTTCCAGGTCAGACTTGGGTCTTTTTGTATGATTAACCATCCACTATTTAATCTAGGTGCAATACTAAATGGAAACCAGGTACTGAAACCACCATGTGTAACTGAATTTTAGGGGAAAGAACACACCAATGAATGCAAATACAAAAGAAAGAAAAAAGAAAGCAAATAGAAAACCTACACCAACAGTAGACCTATAACATATGCGCTTCCTATCACAAGCTACTAGAGGAGCTACAACGTGTAACACCTCAGTTCACAAATGCTTCTACTGGCAAACAATTCAAGTAGAAACAAAGGTGTGCGGCAAAATTTTGCTTCTATTCGCAAACTCTGCACCAGGTGACAAGTACGACCACAGCAATCTTCCCCACACAAACACAAACTCAGCCATCTTTTCCAAGATCATAAAACAAATTAAGTCCATAAACTGAGGTATGACTGTATTTTCAAAAATTTTCAGCTAAAAAGCAATTTTTCAGATATTCAGGAGAAAAAGTAGGGCTGGGGAGATCGCTCAGTAGAGTAAGTGCTTGCCTGGCAAGCGCAAGGGCCTGAGTACAATCCCCGGTTCCATAAAAAAAAGAAAAAGAAAAGCATTCATTTTAGAAAAGCTTGCACTTTACAAATGTTTGCATTTCAGGAAAACCAACATTAAAGAATGACAGCCTCTGCATGCTGACACACGGAAACATGGCACGGCTTCCTTGTGCCATTTCTCCATCACATGCACAACACGCACGCCCTCCACACGTTTCATCGTGAACACACATATGCAGTGCACCTCTACAGGGTGGGCGCTGTCAAGACCCTGCTGAGGACACAAGGGGTAGGAAGCAGCTCCTGCTCCAAGTTTCAACCTCACAGATCCCAAACTGCTTAAGCGTTTGGAAGCTCTACACTGAACCACACCTGACTGATGGTCTTCTCCATCTGCACCAGACCCAGGTTGGGGAGTGTGCTTTTTATGAAGTCCACTATGGTTTCGAGGTTCTCATGCTGCAGAATCAAGGGCTTATGGCTTCCCAACAGACTCAGAGCCACCTTAAATATGACCTCGGATCCCTGAAGGAAGATCATATCTGGGAAAACACAAGAGATGCAGGGTTAAACTATACCAGTTTCTAGTGGATATCATTCTGTTTCCCCTTCCTCAGCACAGAGCACAGAGGTGGGAAACTCAACTCCAAAGTGCAAATTTTATTTCATTTTAAGAACCGGCTATTTCACATGGGGTTGTCAGGACGAAACTGCAAATAGTAAAAATAATATATAAACACACCACTTAGATTTTGTCTCAGGTTCAGATCTTTTTTTCTTTCACTCTGAAAATGAATTAAAGCAGGCTTCAAAAGTTAAACTGAGAATGAGGCAAAATGTTTTATTAGTCCATTTTTCCAGGACTGTTTTGGATTTTAAAGGATTTATTAGTAGAACATGTTTTTCTGGGTAGGAGTAAAAGATTTTTTACTGATACTGCATCAGAAATTAAAAGTAAATGAAAAAGTACCTCTATCTCCTGCTTTAAAAGAGAGATGGAATTAAAAAAAAGATACCTAAAAAAATGGAAAAGGTCTACTCAATAGCAGAAGTACATTATCAAATGTAAACACACTGAACCTCTACTCAGTAAGACATTTTTCTCCTGGGGAGCTTCAAGAGCTTGGTCCAAGTTACTTTCTAGTTCTTGCCACATTTCAGCTGGTGAGTGACAGCAGCCTGCATACTGACTTTGTACAGCAGGAGGCAGCAGGCAAGTGGCTAAGGGGACCAGGTGAGCAGGGACAACCTTCCCACCGAGTTGGAGTGCCTGGGAAAGAGAATCTAATGTCCTAGGGGCACGGAGATGGCTCAGAGGAATAAGTGCTTGCCTGGTAAGCGCAAGAGCCTGAGTTCAATCCCTGGTTCCTCCAAAAAAAAAAAAAAAAAGTCCTGAGGCCAGTGCAGCCACAGCCACTAGTTACTGGTGACTAAACTCAAGCAAGGTATTTATGAAAACACATAATTTAAAATATAAAAGTATAAATAGAATTAAAAGCAATGGTCAATATATCTTTTTTTTTTTTCTTTTTGGCTTCAAGACCATGGGAAGGACAAAGTTGTAAAGTGTTAAGTCAAGAAATATAAATGCAGTTGGGAGGGGCTGGTGAGATGGCTCAGTGGTCTAAAGCACCTACTTAGAACAAGCTAAGCCAAGCAAAGCACAGGGACTGTGGTTCAATCCCCCAGCACCACATGCCAGCCCGCCCGCCCCCTGGTGGGCTGAGCTAGCCACACACACACAATAAATAAATAAATAAATAAATATTTAAAAAAAAAATGCAGGTGAGAGGATAGGGCCCTGCTGAGATGTGTTCCAGCTGGCTTACTGTAAGGACACCTAAAAACTGTGAAGAAACAGAGTGCCTGCTCTATGCAAACGGGAAACTGAGTCAGTGGTTTCCAGACAAAGTAGAGGAAGAAATGCCAGGCCTGTGCTGCAACCTTCACAAAGCCCTTGGCCCTGCACCGGGCTGGTGTGGCCTGCCCCATGGACTGGCACAGGGACCCTGAGCTCCCACAGACATCACCACGGCTGTGGGCAGGCGGCCCTGGGCGTGGGAAAGCCCAACCCCTGCTTCCTCCTCAGAGCTCCTCGCTGAGGCTGGGAAGATAAATTAGGGAAGTGATGCGTCTTTGAAATCCGAGCTTCTAAGGGGGAAGTGGAAGGAGCACCGTGGGGAGAGGGGCTGCCAAAGAGGATTCCTGGGACACACCCGGTTTATAAACTACAGCCTAACCAGGCAGCTCACCACTGCAGGAAATAAAAAGACCCAAGATGGGTTTTAAATGGAAATTATATTTCTTTCCTTTTTTTTTTTTTGAGGAACCAGGGATTGAACTCAGGCCCCTGCGCTTGCCAGGGAAGCACTTATTCCACTGAGCCATCTCCCCGGCCCCGGAAATTATATTTCTAAAAGAAATCTGAAGCCTCAATGATTTGTAACAGCAAGGCTTCATTTTAATATATGAACATTTATAACTGAAGTATCTTTTAGAATAAAAATCAAGATCTTTGCAAAGATCTTTAGGAAGGATTCTATTACTACACCAAAAACAAAGAAAAAAAGCATCTCTTGTTGAGTCTGCTACCTAGAACCAGGCAGGGAGTACAAGGAACCCCTGCTGAGGGCTCATTAATGCCTCCTGCTGGCCTGGGGGCTCTGACTTTCACCACGCCCGCTTCTCCCACTTTGGCCCTAAAAGCTTTGGGGAGACCAAAGGCCTACACAAGGACTTCACTGGATGCCCAATGCTGTGACATGATGAACGGCTGAAGAGATGCCTCGTGCTTCTGCTTGGGAAAAAGGGGCTCCTGAATTTACCTGCTGTTACTGGGGGGCTGCAACTCTAGTCTTTAAACAATCAGTCCCTTTCTTCTCCCTCTGAACTTCTAAAGATAAAATAAATTTTAAGATAATTAATTAAAAATATTACTTATACTCCAACTGTCCCAACCCAACTATTTTTATTTTCCAATCTTTATGCATTTGTACTTTGGATTTATTATTCATTTGTTAATGGATCAACTCACATTTTAGATTATAAACGTAAATCTTGTGTTTTCTGTTGTGTAAAAATGTATACTTAACCACTGTTCTAAGTTGTTTAGTAACTAGTGGCTGTTTCTTGCTGTTTGCTAGATAAAATTCCTATAGCCCTCACCAATTCCTGTCAGCAAAGTTAGTTCACAGAGATGAGTTAAAGGAAACTAAATGGGCTTTAACTTCTTGTAACCTCGGGCTATGCAAGGCTGCCTTCAAGTACTCAGGTGCAAATTAACCAGAAACTGAAACAAAAGCCCCAGAAAATGTAGTTTGAGTCATGGTCCCAATCACTCTAAAAGCATTATTTTGTGTCAGACAATGAATTTGTTTACCAAACTGAATGAGGTCATTCAATGAATTTGCTTATCAAACTCAGTGTGGTTCCAGGTTTTTAAACCCCTTCCTGCTTCCCAGGCTGCTACCTTTCGGTCCTCTCCTGTGTGAGAGCAGGCCCGGGGTCCTGAGCTCAGTAATAAAAAGGCTTTCCAAATTCCAATCTGGCTGATCCTGGTTCCTACTCTGAGCGACCCATAACAATACCCCCACCTTTAAAAAAAAATTATTTTGAGAGTAGCTAAATTACTCTGGCTGGGCTTGAACCTGCGATCCTGCTTGAACTTCCCAGTGTGCTGTGATCACAGGTGTGTGACACCACATACAGCTGAATTCTTTTTTAAATAAAACAACTGCCCTCGGAGACTGCACTAGTGCCCTGCATTGGGAAACCCTGTGGGAGCAAACAGCGAATGGGTGACAACGTGCACAGCCTGCAGCCACCTCTGCACAGCACTTTCTGCTTTTCCCTTCTCTGGCTCTTAAGCTACCTAGAACCAGGCAGGGCGTTCAAGGAACTTTAAATTCAGCAGACTCCATCACTGCATGTCATTCGCTAAGAACAAGGTAAGCAGCTACTTCTGTTTGGAAACATTTAAGTAACGCTTTTACCATGTGACCGTGTACCAGGCATTTTTTAAGGAATGCATAATTTGAAAGATCAATTTCCCTGTCTTCTCTAACTACCTTTGTCCATCGTAAGCCTTGCCTCTCCTTCACTTTCTTCTGCGAGGCTGCAGTCCTCTGCAGTGTGCAGAGGAACAGGAAGGCTGAAAACTATCCAGATTTTACAAAAACTCAGCTGGGCATGGTAACATACACTTACAACCCTAGGATTCTGGGAGGCTGAGGCAAGGAGATTGCAAGTTTGACCCCAATCTGGGTAACTCAGTGATTTAGCAAGATGGCCTCAAGCAAGCAGCAAGCAAGCAAGCAAGCTCAGCGCAAGCCCAGGGGATCCTGTCTGACTGTTACCATTACCAGAACAACAAAGCCCTCAGTTCTGCGGTGCCGCGTTGCACTGCCTGAACAAACAGCCTGTCTCCCGACACCCAACCTTGCTCTATTTTCACCTGAAACCTTCGCTACACTGCAGGTGGCTTCTGCAATCTGTGCCAAATCCTTAATTTTACATTCCACCTCTTTGTCTCTTTGGCAGGTCACCCTAGAGGAAACATCAGGAGTCAAACACTACAGCTTCCTCTTTGGCAAGAACAAGACAAGACGGCTTCTATTTTTCAGACTTCCCCCAAGGCAGATGTGGTTAGAAAGTGAACAGAACATTCCTTCTAAGGCCCCCCACACTCAAAAGAAAGAGGGGGCAAGACACACAGGAGGCAGCTATTAGATGCTGCATCGCCTGGGTGAGGCAGACTTCTGACAAGTGGGATCACACCGCTGGCAGCCGCCCCTCCAAATAGCAGATCCTTAATCGGAGATAACAACTAATACATGAGCTACCCTGAGGTGAACTGCCTGTATGTGGTGTATAAGATAGTGATGTGTATAAAATAGTCAATGGTCAACAAAAGTCCATTCATTTTCAGGCTCTATCCGGCCTCCAAGGCTTACAGTGAAATGGGCCCTGGCCAAGAAAGACGAGAACGAATGGCACGTTCTGGAATTTGAGGCTGATCTGTCTGCCACTGCAGAGCTGAACAAACATGTTTAAGTCACCAAGGGCATATGCAGAAATGGATTTAAAATACCTAGCTTTTCAGTGGCCTCCGCTTAGTGCTATGAAGTCCCAAAGGCTGGGTGCACACTCACGCCTGTGTGCCTGCAGAGTGACCTCACAGCAGAGGGCGGCCTTGAGAAGCCACTTCCTGCCTGCAATCCCAGGAGCCCTCACTCAGCCAGACAGGAGCCCACTCAGTGCAGCGAATCAGGCACAGGGGGCATCTTTAGGCAGACTGTAGGAACCCCAAGGATCCACCCCCAGCCGTGTAACACAGAAAGCAGCGTGTCTCTACCAACCAGCTTCTGTAGATGAATGAGCTAGCATGAGCCTCACTTGTTCTGCCACAGAAGAGCTGTCACCTCCCAAGTAAAGCATGCTTGTGTTCCACACCCTTCACCTACTAAGTAAGTCTCAGGGAAGACTGCTCTCCGACAGCCCCACGTGCTCAGCAGGCAGCAACTCGAGGGGTGGCAGGCACAGGGATGATTCAGTGACCACCACCCCGCTCCCCAGCCCAGGCTGCGGTCAGCTCAGCCAGCTTGGCAGAACCTTCCTCCCAAACCACAAAATTAAAAGTCTGAACTGTTTTCAGACTATTAACAAACAGCATTCTGCTTGCCCCACGGACTCCTGTTCCCTCCATGACCCTGTATCAGAGACATAACTAGGAGAAAATGGAAAGTAGAAAATACAGCAGCTATTGCCAAGAAAGCGTGAAATACAGGTTTTTGTAATTTTTGTTAGTAAATACACATTTTGGGGGCTTTGATTTTTTTTTTTTTATTATGGTCTAAACCTTCATGAGATTTAATCAACAATTTGCTTCACCATATTTGGTATCTATTTTTTTTTAAGAGCTAGAAAATAATTTATACAGGTTTGGGTTATGAATATTTTATGTTTTAAGATTTTTTTTTTTTTTCGTGGAACCAGGGATTGAACTCAGGCCCTTGCACTTGCCAGGCAAGCGCTTATTCTACGAGCCATCTCCCTGGCTCCATGTTTTAAGATTACATTTCCTCTAGTAAAGCCAACTGAGAAATTCTTCAACAGTTCTAGAGGACAGAAGTGACTAATGACTTAAAAACAGGCAGTACCCTACAGAGAAGGCAAGGAGAAAAGAGTCAATGTTCAGTAAGTTACCAAGAAAATTTTAGGATTTCGAAAATCTAGATATACACGATGTCTACCCAAAGTAGTGTTCAGTATTTTTGAACATTTCCTGTATAATGTTCTCATGTTCTAAAAATAAATCACAATAATATGATGAGGTTATAGGTTTTCAAGCTCCTAAATGACTCTCCAAAACCAGCATTTAAATGTACTTGATGTGTGATCATTATCAATTTTTTTTTTTTTTTTTCCAGGGATTGAACTCAGGCCCTTGCGCTTGCCAGGGAAGCGCTTATTCCACTGAGCCATCTCCCCGGCCCCCCATTATCAATTTTTTAAAGCAAC